GGGGGGTGAATAGAACAAAACGATAGATGGCTATAAAGCTACGGTCACAACCCGCCGTACGTGCTTTTTGTCCGTACGCTTTTTGGGAGGCTACGTCTGCTACGTTTTTTTCTGAAAACGTGGGGAAGGAGTGGCGTCTACGCAGGTCACTCGCACGGTTGCACAAAGCGTAAGAGTGTGGTCTGCACGCCAAGTCTGGCCGTGAGCGGTTGCGTGCATCGTACGTTGCGCAAGTGGTAAGTGCTTACAACGTACGTGTGCGATTGCAACTTTACCGTACATAAGGAGACCGTGCTCACACGTGCTTCTTCCGCACGGCACGTACGGGGCACGCGCGTCGCTCGTACTCGCACGCAAGGGTGATGAATCCGCAGACCGCACGTAGAAAAAGTTTTACATGCACTTAAAGTTCTACGGCGTGTCTGCGTGTAGGATTTCGTACGGATGCGGTACTCACCACGCACGGATGCCCTACGTTTGCCCACGTTTTTGCACGTAGACAGCACGCAGAAGCACGTACGGCGGGTTGTGACGTCGACCGTAGCTTAAGCTAGATCAGATGGCCTTGTCGCATTCAATAAATGTAAAACCATGCAATACAGGTTTTACGGGAGTTGTAAAGCCTTCCTCTGAGTCCGTAATACCGGAGGGTATTTTCGGTTTGGACCTGGTGGTTCTATGTACTAGGTCAGCATCATAACTCGAGAAGTTGTGGATGGATCTTTTTTTATATTTCGCATGTCTATTTTGGTTCTGCGCTCTCTCCCATTAAAAACGGTATCAATCTATATATCAAATTAAAGCTCAGATTTTAGGTAATCAGCACACACAGTTTCAAGAGGGATCCTATCTGCTGAATGCAACCGTACAAACATGGCCGTAAAATTAGCAGATTTCAACGCACAACTACTACAACTTTTATTCATCTCTAACAACAATTTTGAACACGGTCGGACTTTAGCATGTCAAAATTCAAAAGGAAACACCGAGCCATATTTTTACCACGCGTGTAAACGTAAAGGGTTTTCACGGCGGAAGCGCCCCGCGTCAAAAGCGCGCTTTTACAAAATAAGCGTGTTCTAGAGCATTGGCCCTTCGACTGTGTGGGCACATGTAACGGTTAGCTGTTGCAGAAATGTAGCTATATAGGTCAAATTCAAATTGGTCCACCTGACTTTTCCCAACGGTACTGCAGCTGGATTTTTGTTCATTTGTTGATTTGCATGTGTTCAACATTACCCGAGAAGCTGTGAATGGAACTGAATGATATATATACTTGGTTGTTGAGTAGCGGTTATAAAAACAAATTCCTAGAATTCTTGCGAATTGCACACAATACTGTACCATTAGGCTCCTCCCTGAGACGTCGCCAAAAATGGTTACTAGTATCCTACGTTGCTGCAAAGGGTTTGTGTTTTTATGAAACAAGTTGAGTTCGGAGGGCTCTGCCTTCGACAGTGTGATATTGCTTTGGTGGGTGTTGTGTGTGTGCATAGTGTAGGTTTTTTGAAGATGATTATCGTAGTTACAGTGGGCAGAGAGTCCTTTTGTGAACGAAGCAACATACTTAGCCTGTACCTTGTCTTTCTATACGAAAATACGGATTGTAGAATTCGGCAAAAAGGAGAGAATTGGCCTGGGGAGTCTGGCCGCGAAAGGTTGTTTTCTTCCCTCCGATGCGCGGCGATCTGAGCTTCAAAACGGCAAAAACTCCTTCAACTAAATCATTCTTCTATACAGCCAGCGTTGTGGAAGCGTGCGATGTCCAACACGTTGATTTATTGTCTTTTACTACTAAATTGATGCAGTGCATTTCATTCCTTTTTTATGTGATGGTGGCTATGTACATTAATTGTATATGTGATGTTCCCACCGGAATCAAAACCATTTGTACAATATTACGTACGCATTTTTCAAAGTTGTTTCAGTGACAAGGGGATTTTGTAATAGTTGGCAATAAACGTAGCACAATAGTATGTATCATTTCTTGTTTAACAAGGTTCATGATGTCAAAATTTGCCCGCCTTGTCTTTTTTCCGCCCTATCGCATTAGATTGAGAGTCTAAGGAGGATGTCATCCATAAAATTTACTTGCAGTGGCCTAAATCACTAAATAACTGTTTACAAAGGGGGCCAAGGTGTATCGTGCGGACAAAATTTAGGCCACAGCAAGTAAATTTTATGGATGACATCCTCGGTAGACTCCAAATCTAATGCGAGCGGGCGAAAAAAAACAAGGCAGGCCGAAAAAAACAAGGTTCCTACATTTTGAAATTTTGACTCAACCATTGTACAAATGGTTTTGATTCAGTGTGAGCATCACATATACACAGCCAGCATCACATATCATTGCATCAAAGTGAGAAACAAAACATTAAATCAGAGCCTTTTGTTGTCTCCTCTCGTCATAGTTATCTGCCATCCACCTTCCGGCATGGCAACAGACATCTTTGCCCATTTTCGGCATGGTAACCACTGTCAGAAGGCAACAAAATTTCTGTTTTTTTTTCCCCCAAAATCAGGCGAAAATTAATGCGCGCGCTGATGTCATCCATAAAAATTACTTGCTGCGGCCTTATGTAAATCAACTTGATACAAGCAAAAGCAGAACAAACACTTTAGTATGACATGATATCCGACAGATTCCGTCACTAAAATTGCGCATTTGTTTAGCCTCCTGTGCAGGCTCCGGGCGGGTGGGAATTTTGATACAGCGTTTTGAAGAGTTTTTACCTTCGCCAAGAAGGTTATGTTTTCAGTAGCGTTTGTCCGTCTGTCTGTCTGTCTGTCTGTCTGTCTGTGAACAGCATAACTCAAGAAGCTTAATATGTATTGTCATGAAACTTGGTAGGTGGGTAGGTCTTGATGAGACCTAGAAATGATTAGATTTTGGGCCCCCTGGCGGCTTTTGTTGGTACTGCAGCAGAACTTCCGGTTTTGATATCTCGCGATCTGGACATGCTAGGGTCACGAATTTTGGTTGGTAGATAGCTCTTGAGGTGGGGAAGAAGTGACATGAGTTTGGGCCCCCTAGTGGCTTGTTCTGGAACTGCAGGAGCATTTGTTGAAAAATTTTCGAAGGATGATAACTCAAGAACCGGTTGACGGATTGTCGTGATTTTTGGTATGTAGGTACCTGAAGGGATGCTTGACATAATCAAATGACAATTATGCAAATCAGGAGCTAATTTGCATAATTAATGAGGAAATTCTATAAATCTGCTTTGTTCGATAATAGGACTATGAAACACTTGTGACATCTACTTGAGAATAAAAAAAACATCTGAGGATATAGATTATGTAAATGAAGACCTAATTTGCATAATTAATGGGAAATTTTTATAATTTCATAGTTGTAACTGCTGAGAATTTCATACTTGCCACATTTGGAAGTTATGTGAAGGCGAACATCAATAAACATAATTTATTCAAATCATGACCTCATTTGCATAATTTATGAGGAAGTGCTATAATAGCCTTTTTGTTAAGATAAGACTGTCATTGGGTGGAGAATATGATCAACTGATATAACCCATGCAATGAGGATCTTATTTGCAAAATCAATTATCAAAATTGTATACTTCTTCAACCGCAAGGGTTAACATCATTTGGCGAAGGTATGAGATCGTGGAACTCTTGTTGTTTGTTTGTTTATTTAAATGCAACAGTGCATAACAAGTGGCAACCAGGCAGCAACAAGGCTGGTAGCGGCTACCACTGACACATAAATGCATTTTTAACGCGTTCTTTTTAATAGCCGGCCATCCTACAACCAGCCTCCGAGAGAAGGTTCCATTCCGCGCACTTGCTGGTACACAGAGCTAGAAATGTATGTCCAAGTTTATATTATCTCTATTAGAGTCCACATGCTATTTATCTCAGGGAAACAATGTTTTTTTCAATCTACTTTGGACGGACATTCGGAGATCAGACATAACATGTAGTACAACAGTGTGGTCTTGAGACACTGGAGAACAGGAGAGTCAACCTGTGCCGTAAGTTTGCAGTCAGCATGGAGAAGTCAGAGAGAACTGCAGATCTGCTACCTCCAACCCGGGGACAGTCAACCCGACGTGAACTTAGAAACTCTACAAAAAGGACTCTCCCTACCACACGTACAACAAGATGTTACAACAGCCCTTTACCGTCCCTCTTAAGACTGTTGAATGAATCGAAATGATGTCACTCTTAAACTTGTAAATGTCTCAAATATATTTTGTGAAACTTGTATATGGAATGTAAATGTAATTTTGATATTTAAGATGCAAATGTGAGCAAAATTTGAATCTCGTTATGCTAAATGTGTTTAATATGTTGACTGTGCAGTCGTTAATGTTTTTAAAAGAAATGATGTACATCTCTGAACGCAATTCAGCTTCTGCTGCAATGTTCGTGATTTTAACAATAAACCATTTTTGATTGATTGATTGATTGATTGATGTTGAGCCAGCCGTTGGTTAGTACACAGTTTGGCCGCCGCCGCCAGACATCTGCTCGGAGATTTATACGCATCCTCTATAGGGCCATGTTGATTTAATTACATGGATGACATCCACGCTCGCATGAATTTTTGTCCGTTTCCAAAAAAAAAAAAAAGTTGTCGACCACACAGTAAATCGTACGAAGCAACTGCTAAAATATCCCAAATTTAAAAAAAAAATATTGGAAAACGAAACTTATTTCTTGGTATGCCAAACTCAATCCCAAAGGAAAAGAAGAAAATGTGAAGAAATGAAAATAAAGATTCTATTATTCGCCATACCATATCGTGTGTTTAATCATTTGTTCAACCTTCATGACCACGTAAATTTCATAATGAAGGAAACTTTTTTTTTTTTTTGCAATTTCCTATTTTTTTTATTCGCACGCTCGCATCAGTTTTGAGGTTCCCAGGGGATGTCCTCCATATAATCAAATCAACATGGCCTAATTTATAATGCGCCCCTCTCGGGACAACCTCCCCCATCCCGCAAGTGGACTAGGCCAGTACAACAAGAAAGATGGCGGAAACAGACCGGGAGTTTTTTGACAGGTCGGGACTCGCCGCTACAATCGCCAGAAATGTCTCCAATCTTGAGGTTCTACTCAACATGGGGTTTCCCAAGGAGAGGGCGTAAGTAGGAAAAATCCTTCCCCTATTGTTTACCTTCTACGCTTGAAAGTAAGTCGCAAGATTTTTGTGGTTAAGTTTCCTTTTTATCTTACTTCCGGGTCACGCTTGGTGAAAATATACAGCTGTTTGTGTCCTGCTTTGCAAACCCTTTGTCCTTAACTTTCTTCTTCCTTTTGTTTAAAGACAAAGGTCTTCAGAGGAGGAATTATAAGAAAGGTAATCTGAAAAACTTGAGGACATTAGTACACCCATTATTATCTTATCATAAAATCAATGAACTTCAACAATGTTCGTCATAAATTTATGATAATTTTACAGTCACTGTGTGCCATTTTGATGGTTTTGATAGTTCGTAAGATATAATACTCAGAGAAAATAATTTTTCTCATAATCTAATCATAATATTATTGTAACATTTCCCTGCACATTACTCCAGTTGATAATTTCCTTTTTTTTTTAGAAACTTGTGAACATTTTTGTTACTTTATATGTGGTAATAATGTTTTCAGCATTTGAACAATGATGTTTCTATCTTCCACAATCATTCCTTGAGCCAATGCTCCTATAGATATACGATCAACGTGCCAGCTTTTCGAAGAAGTATATTTTTGAAACAGCCGACTCATACATCATTAAATATAGATTGCATAATTCGGTGTAGAAGGAAATAAAGTATGTAATATAAAAAGTCTGTTGAATATTTGAGAATGCAATCTGTCTGCCTCCTGTGAGCTAGAGTTGTAATGATAAAATTCCAAGGGGTTTTTATGGCAGGCATGTGCCAGATTATGCTGCACACCCTTAAGTCTAGGCAGTGGTAGAAATACTTTTTTTTCAACGTTCTGCAACATTGCAGATGGGTGAAAATTTTGTCCTGCAATTTTGAAACACTTTCTACAAATACACAAGCCACCATACTACAACCTAATGCAAAATTGCAGATTGTACGATTTTTTCTTCTGCAATTTTGAAAATCTCTCTGCAAAATGCAGACTACAGATGGGTATTTCAAACACTGCTAGGCGATGGTCTTTTTCAAGAAATTAAATTCTGAAGCCAAAACACATTGCATGGGAATGAAGGATAGATTACAAAAGGAACAGAATTTCACTTTCTTTAACCTTCTTTGACTCAAATTTTAGTAAATTTTAGGAGATTTAGCCACCAAAATAAATGATATAGTTGGAAAGAGAAAGAAAATCCTAACACTGGGATTTTGAAAATAACCCCATCACAAGAGGCATAGTAACAGCTTGCCTTGCATCGTGGAAATGCATATACTTGTGATTCTGCCTGGTACAGAAGTATTGTTTTGGGTGGCTGAGCTGTGGGTCTGTGTGTCTATTTGTCTGTCTGTGCAGATAGAGTAGGTTGACAGCATGTGAGTGGCGAAGATTGACAGGCAGAATGAATCGGTCAGACACAGGAAATGGGGTGAACTTGAGAATAGGTTGACAGACCATGGGTGGGGGAAGATTGACAGGCAGGAGTCAGAAGGCAGAATGTCAGGAATCAGAAGGTCAGGAATCAGAAGGTCAGACACAGGAAATAGGATCATATAATGTAGTTCATGCTTTCTCATTTTTCACACCCTTTAATGTTCCATACATACAGGGAGAAGGCTCTAGCAGCTACAGGGGACAGGAGTGTCCAGCTGGCATCTGATTGGTAAGGCTGACGAAACTAATCAAAGAACATCTGATTACTTGATTCTGATTGGTCAATGAAATAACAACATTTGTGCCTTGATCAGATTCTGTTTGAATAGATAATAATCAGCTGCAATCCTTATCTAACCTCAAGGCCATCGCCTCTTGTTTAACATGGCCTAAGGCCACACCAATTTAATTTGTTGGTTCTCAGATTTTTTAAGAAAAAATATGAAACGACAGGGCAAAAAAAAAAATAATAAAAACAGGTCTAGGCATCTTATTATAGCCCCAAATGCTTTGATAGGAGCCATGAAGTCAACACAAAAGGGGGGTTAGAATTTAAACAATAAATTTTGAACTTTTAATCAAACCACTGCATTGATAGATGGCAAAACTGTAACATCTAAGAAGAAAAGGACTTTCCTCAACTGTTGGAGGCAAAATGTGAGCATTTTTAGTTGATTCAGAATCCTTTTTTTAATTTTTTTTTTTTTGCAAATCAGAAAAAAATGAAGAGGGGAATCCGAGAACCAACTAATTAAATTGGTGTGGCCTTATCGCATTAGATTTGGAATCTGCGGAGGATGTCATCCGTAAAATTTACTTGCTGTGGCCTAACCACTAGACTTAATTGCCTCTTGTTTCATGTGGCCTTTAATAATCTGTCTATTTTTCCCTCCAGGATCTTTGCCCATGTTGATGACAGTAGCCTGGATGAAGACCTCCCGCGGGAGTACGTGCTGTTCGCCTGTCCGACGGGGCCGCTAGTCAGCCAGCTGGAGGACTACTCGGAGAAAACCCTGGTGCAGTGTGGGAGGAACGGATCGCACAACTCCTTCCCTCATGTCACACTCTGTTCCTTTTTCTCGGTAAACCTACAGTTTATTATCTGAGTGCCACTAGAATATGTAACATTACAATTATCATATTACATTTTCAACATTCGAATGAAAGCTCATCTTTGTTGGTAGAATCCATAGTTATAGAGTTCAAGCTTTGTTCCAACGGTTGGCGAAGGATGAGAATGAGATTGGAATATTGAGAAATAGAATATGAGATCAGTAAGATAATTCTTTCAATCAGTGACTATTAAATCCTAAGGTACATACCTCCGAATTTTCGACGACTAGTCAGTTCGTCTTGATCACGGAATGATCCTAGTCTCGCGAGAGAACGCGAGACTAGGACGAGACTTGCGTGGATCTTCTGCCCCCCTCTGCCTCCTTGCGGAGTAGAGGTAGGTAGGGCTTAGGCAGCTCCCAGCCTTCGTTGCGGTTCAGCTTGGCTCCCACTAATTGGATGTGTATGGCCTCCTTGATCTTCCGGTGGGCATTGCGGGCTTCCTGATCGATAATTTCGATCGTGTCTAGTATAGGTTGGGTGGTGACCCTATATCCAGTCTGTACCTGGTGTTGACTAAGTGCAGATTTGTAGTCCTTACGGTCAATCACATAGCCCATACACATCCAATTAGTGGGAGCCAAGCTGAACCGCAACGAAGGCTGGGAGCTGCCTAAGCCCTACCTACCTCTACTCCGCCAGGAGGCAGAGGGGGGCAGAAGATCCACGCAAGTCTCGTCCTAGTCTCTCGTGAAACTAGGATCATTCCGTGATCAAGACGAACTGACTAGTCGTCGAAAATTCGGAGGTATGTACCTTAGGATTTAATAGTCACTGATTGAAAGAATTATCTTGCTGAACTTGAACCATACGTGACTGATGAATCTCTTCAACGATAGAATATGAGAATATTTTGTATGTCAGCATGAACTTAGGAGGTATTGACAAACAAGTGAGAGCCTGCATGCCCTTTTTCGCAAGGCGTAATCAGGCCTTTTTTAAAATTTTAGCGTTCGTAATCTGTAATATAGGCAGCTGTCCAAAGTCATCGTAATTCGTAATCAATGCATTACTAGAGTAACCATAATTGGTGAAAATCAGCTCTGAGAATTTAACGTAATTGACGGAATTGGTGGTGAAAATTTAGCGTAGTTCGTAATCACTTACCCCCCCCCCTCATGTAAGCCCTGAGTGGATGTGCATGTAGAATTGTAGATGTATAACCTATCTGCCATCTTGCCTTGTTACCAGGTCCCAGACTCTGTAGTCCCAAAGGTGGTACATGCCGTGTTAACTGTGGCAGGCAGGGTGAGGGGCAGGGAGGTCCCAGACAAGGTCACGCTGGACTTCTACTCCTCCGGCAGTTTTGTGGGTCTGTTTGTGGACGACAGAAGTGCAGCTTTCCTCAGGACTGTCAGTCAGGAGTTTGCCAACGAAGTCTTAAAGACAACAGGTAAATCTGATGCATTTTACCATGGATGACAACGGGTAAGGCTGTGACCCTTGTTTAGTCCAGTGTAGTGTATGTAGTCCAGTGAAGCATGATTGTGTAGTCCAGTGTAGTGTATGTAGTCCAGTGTAGCATGTGTAGTCCAGTGTAGCATGATTGTGTAGTCCAGTGTAGCATATGTAGTCCAGTGTAGCATGTGTAGTCCTGTGTAGCATATAGTATTACGTAGTCCAGTGTAGCATGTGTAGTCCAGTGTAGCATGTGTAGTCCAGTGTAGCATGTGTAGTCCTGTGTAGCATATAGTATTACGTAGTCCAGTGTAGCATGTGTAGTCCAGTGTAGCATGTGTAGTCCAGTGTAGCATGTGTAGTCCAGTGTAGCATGTGTAGTCGAGTCAAGTATAGCATGTGTAGTCCAGTGTAGCATGTGTAGTCCAGTGTAGCATGTGTAGTCCAGTGTAGCATGTGTAGTCGAGTCAAGTGTAGCATGTGTAGTCCAGTGTAGCATGTGTAGTCCATTGTAGCGTGTGTAGTCTAGTGTAGCATGTGTAGTCCAGTCCAGTATAGCATGTGTAGTCCAGTGTAGCATGTGTAGTCCAGTGTAGCATGTGTAGTCCAGTGTAGTGTGTGAAGCCCAGTGTAGCGTGTGTAGTCTAGTGTAGTGTTACAATTTTTGGTGCAAAAAATGTACATAATGCCCCTTTATATGATGCTGTTCTCAGGAATAGAGGTGAAGGCCCACAAGAAGCAGCTGCACATCACCCTGGCCTACCAGTTCAACCCCAGTCAACAGCACAGACTGGAAGAGCTGGCCAGGGACATGGACACCTCCATGCCTGCACAGTGGGACCTCAGGCTGTACTCTAGGGACACCAGGAGGGCTAAGTCTGATGTAAGTAAGGCCACACCAATTTAATTTATTGGCTCTCGGCGACGCCTCTTCTTTTTTTCTGATTTAAAAAAAAAAAATCTGAAATCAACTCAAAATGCTCAATATGCTACATATATTGCCCCCAACAGTTGAGGAAAGTCGTTTTCTTCCTCCTTCTTGCTACAGTTTTTCTATCAATCTATCAATGCAGTGGTTTGATTAAAAGTAAAAATTCATTGTTTATAAAAAACAAGAATTTTTTTTGTCTGTTTCTCCCCCAAAAATGTTATGACCATTAACTGTAAATTATAAATTTTAGTTGCAAAACGAACAAATTTGTACCTGGTCCATAAATTGCAAAAAAATATTGGAAAACGATACTTGTTGTATGTCATAGAATGCCAAAATCATGTGAAGAAATGAAAATGAAGAGTCTATTATTCGCCATACTATACTCAATATGTATCAATATGTGTTTAACCTTCATGACCACATAGATGTCATTATGAAGGTAACTATTTTCGCCAAAGTTTTTTTATTCATTTGCACACTCACATCAATTTTGGTGTTCTCATAGGAAAATGTCATCCATATAATTAAATCAACATGGCCTAAACCTAATTAATAACATTGGTTAGCTAAATTCATTCCCCATAATGCCAATGCCTAACAGCCTTGGAAGAAGAATTTGGTCAATTTTGTGAATAAGTCATTTGCTTAGTCATGTTTTGACCTTTCAATGTAGCTATCATAATGGTATCATTATAAAGGGTTATAAGTAACCTTTCATTAGCCTGGGTACCATCCGGATTTTCGCTACGCAACGTGATTTTTTCAAGCGTTGCGTAATGAAAATCCGGATGGTACCCAGGCTAACCTTTCATTGCAACAAAACAATGCATAATACTACACAATGGATGAAGTGATATTGGAGATATTACGGATCAAGTACTATGTATTATGTAAACTTTTGTGTTGAGTTCTATAGTATACATTTTTCAGCTTTCACAAGTGAATAATTTCTTGTGTTGTTTCTGCTATCTACAGGTGCTGAGGGTGGTCCATCCTCTACAACCCACTAACGATGATGAACTGGAACTGGTCAAGTACGTGTGGTCAAAAGCTTTTTTGATGATAGCGAGAAATCTTGATGGAATCGGCCAGTCTGCCATTAGTTTCAACAGCATAACTGTCTTTTCGTAATGTAAAATGGCCCTGACCTGATCATGTTGCCATGCTCTTTGTGTAAGAAGACCGTCACTTTTCCTTGGTCTCCTGGGGGGTTGTTTGACTACATAAAGGGTTAAGGCCCCACCCCGAGATGTAACATTACATGTATATGGTGAGATAATCCCTGGTCAGGTGCGATAACTACCAAATAACTAATATGTATACCGAATAACCACCAAGTGAGCGTAGCAAACGAGGTGGTTTATGAGTCTTACAAGTCTTAACACTAGTGCCCTGTCCCCACAGTATAATGGTGCGGTCCAAAAAGTGGTCGGTTATTATAATAACCGACCACTTTTGAGGTTACAGCCTGATAACTGATGGCAAATGGAGCCTTCTGATTGGTCGACGCCTTCTGGCTATATGATAATATCTTGTAATTTGCTTACGCAACAACACCCAACCACATCTCTCCTGCTCCAGGGTTCTCCAGCTCACAACTTTGATACAAACAACTAAAAAAAAAGCACTCAGCTGCACATGTTCTTTGCTACATCCAAGAGATTCTGTGCCTCTTTCAGCTGAGCCACACTAAATGCTGAATTGGTGCTAAAATACCTAAAAATACTAAGTCTTTCTACACATAAGTGTGTTTTCTATATAATGTAACTTAATAAATACATATTACTTTAATAAACTTATTCCTTGCCCTATGTTACATGTAAATGTTTGAATTTGTTCATTTTGTGTATATATGTGCACACTATCTGCATACATGAACATTGTACTTGCTGCGTAGTGCACTCCTTGTATTGTTACATTACAATTTTGAATGAAATAAATAAAATGTCTTGTACCTGATTGCCCCCCCCCCTTCCCAGAGGAGACTACATCTACCTGGAGCCTGATGAGTTGGTGAGCAGCAGTGATGGCTGGCTCAGGGGCGTGTCCTGGCTCACAGGGTGTACAGGACTCTTCCCAGGGAACTACACCGAAAAAACAGCCGAGACTGACACATGGACACTGCACAGGTCAGATGGAGGGAGGGAAGGAGGGATGGATGGATGGAGGGATGGAGGGATGGATGAAAGGATGGATGAAAGGATGGATGGATGGATGGATGGATGGATGAAAGGATGGATGGATGGATGGATGGATGGATGGATGGATGGATGGATGGATGGATGGATGGATGGATGGATGGACTGGACGGACGGACGGACGGACGGATGGATGAAAGGATGGATGGATGGATGGATGAAAGGATGGATGGATGGATGGATGGATGGATGGATGGGTGGATGGATGGATGGGTGGATGGAAGAATGGATGGAAGAATGGATGGAGGGATGGAGGGATGGATGGGTGGATGGATGGGTGGATGGAAGAATGGATGGAAGAATGGATGGAAGAATGGATGGAGGGATGGAGGGATGGACGGATGGGTGGATGGAAGAATGGATGGAAGAATGGATGGAAGAATGGATGGAAGAATGGATGGATGGATGGAGGGATGGATGGGTGGATGGATGGGTGGATGGAAGAATGGATGGATGGACGGACGGATGGATGGATGGATGGACAGAAGGATGGATGGATGGACAGAAGGCTGGATGGATGGATTTAAGATCCTTGACTTCTTGTGTTCCAGATGTGTTCCTGTTATTTCCCCCCGTGGATCGTCATCAGCCACCAGGGCCTCCGCCCCGCCCATGTCCCCCACCCAGGTGCCTCCCCTGCCCAGGGAACCTTCCCCCAACCCTGGTGTCAGGGTACCCCTGCCAAGGGAACCTTCCCCCACCCTAGCTGCTAGAGTACCCGTACCTGACAGGAGAAATGGTCCAGCCAGACCGCCCCCAGAAGAGTTGTATTCCCAGGTATTCATTATGTTTGTTTCTTCTATTAGGATCTTCATAAGTGTAAATTTTACTCCTGGAGTCCATAGTCCATATTAATGATTATTACGGTTTATTCAGAATAATATAAATTAATATTCCAATCTTCCACAATTCCACAAATAAGGTCAATGACCTGAACCAGACGTCTGTCACCTTGGTAACCAGTGTTGGGTTACATCATGTTGCAATTTTATAGCAGGAGGGATTTAAACTCCCGTCTGACAATATATATGAATGTATTTGAGTAAGAATTTAACAAAACAAGCCATAAGCGAAAGTAAACATTATGCATTCACTTTGCAAATGTTACCCTTCTAGTTTTTTTTTTATTTAATTTTTTTACCATGCAGGTGCAGAAGTCCAGACCTGTCAGTACCGGTCAGGTCCCCCCGGTACCGGCCACACCTCGGCAGCTCTACATCCTCCGTCACGGGGAGAGGGTCGATGTCGTGTTCGGGAAGAGATGGATGAACTCCTCTTTTGTCAACGGTACTGTAAATTCAACCATTTTAGCACACTCAGATTTACTTTAAATCACAATATTTTGCGGTAATTCAATATTCATGGTTTTTGCGGTCACTTCTGTACCGCAAAGTTACCATTACCGTGAACAGACAATTCACCTACTTTGTTTTTTCTGCACCTGCCACCACCGCAAACTTATAGTTCCGCAAACATCTCCATTTTTCTTTTGCTACCGTGAACGTTTGATTTACAGTACATGTACATGGTACATGTAGATGTGGAAAGGAGGTTTTTATCAGTTATTCTACTTAGTCTAGCAGAGATCCTGGATGGAGTCTCTGTCAAAAAAAACTCTGCTCTAGATCTGGACTGACATGTTGACTCTGCATTGTCGTGAATCTACTGATAGAACAATATTGTAATCAAAATCCTCCGCAAACTGATTAATATTTATAGTTACTGTACTGTGTGGTGTCGGTGGCGCAACGGTTAGAGCGTTGGACTCGGAACCGAGAGGTCCCGGGTTCGATACTCACCGTGGCCCGACGTTGTGCCCTTGGGAAAGGCACTTTACACGACTTCCCCACCTATACGGTGGAGTGACGCCCACCGAGCCTCTTAGGCTAATCTGTCTGTCAGGGTGCCAAAAACACCTTACGGATTTGGTGCGCCGATGTGACAACATCTGCACATTGGCCACTGAGAGCCGTTAAACTTTTTTTTTTTTTGTTACTTTTTAATATATATATATATATTACAAACCAACATTCTCACACATTTCCCGCACTGTCAATATAACAACAATGATTATAAAATGATAACAATCTGATTGAAATGATAGTCTAAGATTTCTTTATGATTTTGGTTTGATATCATTTTGATTACAGAACTAAATGCACAGATTCCTGTTTGTTTGTTTGTTTGTTTATTCGATCTCCATTAGATTTACATGAAATCTATTCTTCCTGGAGTCGCAAAATTACAATGAAACAAATGTACAGAACAGAACAAAACAAATGTACATGAAAGTAAAACCAACATAACAAAAGGTGTGAGTCTTAATAAAAAAAATAACATAACGCACACAACATTAACTGAAAACTGAACTTAAGTGAACGGGGAGAGGTCAGAGGTCATGGATGATTAATGTAACAAAAAACGTTACGAAATACGTTTGTTCAGGTGACTATGTTCCACACGACCTGAACCTTCCCAGAAAGCTGCCCTGCAGAGAAGGCAGCCCGCTGAGTTTTGCGGAGGACAGCCCTCTCACAGAGATGGGGTGGTTCCAGGCACGACTTACAGGTACAGCATTGTTAGCAGGCTATAGGGCAGACAGTACAATTACCTTTGCCGATAGAAGCCTATGGTAAAATACACTTAAACAAGTCCCAATGAAAGTACTTTGAATTCTCACACTTCAATCTCAAAAATTCTTCTGCACTTAGAGAGCCACAAGGGTCTGCTTCCCAAATATAGAATCAAAGAAAATAGGTTGACCAGCTCAAACTCTGACAACAGCTGACAACAGTAATTTAAAACAAACCCTACTTTTGACTCACTAATTTTCTCATGTATCCATCCGCCCTGGGCAGACAAGACCTCATCACTCAGGTCCCTCATTATGCCCACTAAACTGATGAAATGAAGTTCAACAAAATTTGACCAAAGTAGGAAAGTTTAGACCCTACCTGTTCCTTCTAGCCCCAAAATCTCCAAGCTGGACCAAAATTTTCAAGAGAAAATACCCTCCTGGTTACAAAGCGAGCACTCTTCCCAATTGAGCTATACACACCAGTGTCGGGGTGATCATTGCTTGAGGAATATCTGATGGAAGATGTACTCCTTTTCCACAGGTGAGGCCATGAGGAGGACAGGTGTACACATCAGCCAGGTGTACTCCTCCCCATCCCTCAGGTGTGTGCAGACAGCTGATGCCGTACTGGATGGTAGGTGCTCAAAGACATTTTTTTTTTCCGAAAATAGTTTCATCAGGTTGGTAAAACTTAAGAGATAGGGGAATTCTTTTTACACAACCAAAGAAAGTTATAGACAGAGAAGACAATAGAAGAACCCGCTGGATCAAGGAGGCAGTTTGGATCAGAAAGTCAACCCCTGTAATGAACCGGGACGAGGGGGGGTACAAACTAAGCCACGTTTGGG